TTCAGGCGGAATCAAAGACTAGAATTCAGCAACATTTAGAAAGAGTAAAGATAAACTGTTTTTTTTTTAAAGAACTTTTTTTTTTATTAGTCCCTAGATCTAAGAAAAAGGCGCATTTTCAGGATTTGTCGACTTAAAAATTTAAAGTACGAATTAGAAATTTAGTTCGAAAAATGCCTTTTTTATTGACACTAAAACGCTGTGAGCATATGTATGTGTTTGGGTCATCGAGCGAACAGTTAACGTTTTTGACGGGATGGCATGTAAATTCGGCCATAGTGATAAGTGCATATGTGTGATACGGAGGGACGAACGAAAAGATTTGACTCTGATTCTACTGGTGGACAGCATTTTATATATAAAGGTTAATTACATCGGATAAGCTGTTTTTTTTTGGAGAGTCCATAAATCTAAGAGAAGGAGCTTCTTTTCAAAGTAAAGCAACTTATCAGGATTTTGTCGGTTGGATCCTTTGAAGTCCGAATTAGAATTCTTAGTTAAAAAAATATGGTTATTGGCTCTAAAATAATTTTAAAATAAATCTTATATGTGTTGTTCTTGTAAAAGTATTATCGTTTTATTACCAACCTTCGTTTGATTATTCTATTCAGTAACCTTCCCTTTTTCACCTGAAATTATATTATTATTATTATTGAATATATATTTTTATTGATTAAAAAATTACAATCCTTTTTATTGGAGGGAAAAGTCTATACAAACTCTGTGAATTTATTTATATTTTTGGGTAATTTTCAGACAATTGACTTTCTTTGACTTTTCATATTTAAATTCTGTTGTGGTAATATTGTGTGTGTTGTTTGTGTGTGTGTAATATATATATATATATATATATATATATATATATATATATATAAATAAATATTTGTTTGTGTGTGTGTGTGTGTTTTGAAAATGGATTTCTAACGAAAAGGCAGGGACAAATGAACGGACTCCTCTAACTCTACTGGTGGACAAATTATTTTTAAATAAAAAAAGTTTAATTCATATCAGATTTCTGTTTTTTTTAATTTTAGTCATTCATATTAATCCATAAATTTAAAAAATGGAGTTTCTTCTCTGTATCCGGATATTGTCGGCTGGATCCTTTCAATTTCGAATGAGGAATTTTTAGTTCGAAAAAATGCTTATTGGCTTTAAAATAATTGTTCATTGGATTTGAATTTAGATTTATTTTAATTTACTACGAAACTTTTCTGTCATTTTCAAAAAAAAATGAAGATTTGTAGGGTATTAGATTAGTGATGTTGGTTCGTGATATGCTTTGTGTTATTTTAATATATTACTGAAGTTTCTAATATATTCGTTTTTGAAAAAACGGAACAATTATATCTTAAAATACATTTAAAAAACTCTTTAATATATACATATGCTATATGCTATAAGAAGTATTAATATTAAGATAGATAAATTTTGTTTCAAAGGAAGTATTAAGAATGAGACAAATTTCGTTTCAGTCGTCTGTTGCGGGAATAAAATGTCGGTGTTTGAGTTTGGAACACGTAAAAATAAAAAAAAATATATAACAAAATGGCGAAATTGCATATATATTTATATAATAAAATATAAGGAAATTAACCAAAACCAATAAATATATAGTCGACTCTCCCGTCGAGATTCGACGTATGAGGGTCACGCAGATCAGTTTCAAGGAAATCGAAAGCCCGACACCGGTACATGAGATTTGATTATAGTGGTGAAGGCTTCGTGCAGGAGCATCCACACTTTTTGAAGGGACGAATACAGAGACCTGGTGCATCGAGTGCCACAAGGTTCCCAAACGACATATCCGCAGGTTTTGAATATAAAGTTGTCCTTCTCCTAGACCAGTTGCCATCCACTTTATATGGAACCCAGTCTGTCCTGCTATTTTGCCCATAGCTGAGGGGGATAGGAAGAGGATTCATACCTTTCCAAGTATAAGTTAATGTAATGGATTCGACTGAATTGAACTCAGATGCGATTCCTCAATATATATATATATATATATATATATATATATATATATATATATATATATAGAAAAAGTTGCAAATTAAAAAAAAATAATAATGTTTTATGAAAGTATTTATTTATTTATTTTATATATATATTTGATATTTCAGATTGACCTCAATCTTTCTTCAGAAATAATTGTTTGTTTACAAGTACTGTTTGTTTAGCGTAGACATCACGTGATATGGAACGCCACTGTGTTCGAATATTATTAACGTAAATCTAACTGTAATAATATTTTAGATGTTGTTTAAAAAAATAAAATTTTTTTTTAACTATATCAAAAAAAAATGTTTAACTATTGAAATATTTATAAAGATTTAAAATACCCAAGTCTTTATTTAACCCTAGATTATATGTATTTAATTTTGAAATCCAGTATTTTTC